TTTCAAGTCACCTGCCTTGCCAGTCAATTTAAATTTCATAAATTTATGATGCTTTTATTTTATTTTATCACTTGTTGTTTACTTGCAGATACCCTTGAATATTTAAAAGTTTATCTTTAAATATTTTCCACATCTGATCAGTGTTTCCAAATATCTCACCTTCTCAATTCACAACAGATGATGTAAAAGATTTAAGTTACTCTAACACTGAGAACAAACTAACTAGTTTTGGGGGTTTATTTATATAAAGCCTATCTATTTGAGACTACAAGCTAACATTTGTCATTAATTAATACTTAGCAGCTTATGTCCTTATTTGTCTCAGACTACACTGTGCATGCAGACTATCAATACTCATTCATTCATGTTATTTTTTTTCTTGAGATTCTGGGATTGAAGTTAGTAAATGAGAAGATAAAAATTGCATCATACATGGTTTTGTAACTTGTTAAAAAAATGGGTTAATCCTCTAATGTTACAAAATATAGTTTGACAAATGAAGGAGTATGACAGGCCTAATATTGAAAATATGAAGTTTGAAATATTTACTGGTTATTACATGATTCTGAGACCACGTAAGTGATTGAAATACAACCCCATCATAGGTTTCATGTCATATACAGAAGTATTTTATGATGGTAAATTAATTTTGCATTAACTTCTTCTATTCCTAATGATATACATTATTGAGCATCTATGAAATGATTAAACACATTTCCCATTGATACTAATGACTGCTAGGTATATAATAAAAAAAATGCCTCACATTTTTATTAGTATTTATAAACTGACTAGCGTATAGCCTGTCAAAAATGATGGGCAAGGACTATCACCCCAACACCATCCCATAGTATACCCTAACCTCATATTTCATAGTTAACTGAAATAAATAAATTTTGCAAAACCAAGCTCAACCAACAAAGAGGCAGAAAAGTGCAGTCAAATGTCAGTACATTTCTTTGTCAGCCAATCAAAAATTAAGATCATTCTTGAAATAAATTTATGGTATATTTGTAAAATCATTATTGGTAAAAATCAGATAGGTTAACAACTTCTAATATATATATAAAAGCCAGTGTGTTTTGGTAACACTACCTTTCAACAATGGTTTTTATATCAAGTTGCTTAGCAACAAAATTATAACTTGATATTGTTGTTAGTCTATGTATTGAAAGTATATAATAAAATGTATAGACAACAAAATGAGAAAAATATTTGTTGATTTCTTAACTTAGAGTCTCAGTTGAGAGGTTTGTTTTTATTTAAAATGTTGGTGATATAACAGAAAATAGCTTAATTCA